GGGTGTGACGACAGAGGCTGGGAGAGGGAGCGGAGCGGAGGCTCTGGGGTGTGTCCTCCCCCTTTGGGGGACAAGGAGGAAGGGAGGAGGGTCTGGGGTCTTAGCCGCCCCAGGAACCGGAGAGAGGGGAGGCTTTGCACACTGCTCGGGGGCTCCTGCAGACCCACAACAGCCCGGGCTGCTTCGATTTCTCCCTAAGCCTTTTGTTGCTGCAGGCGTTTCTGGAGGCAAGGGCTACGCATCTGTTCGGAACGGGGTTTGTTTTGAGCGAAGGGAGGGGAGGCTGCGAGAGATCCGGCGTGGAATCCGAAATCAGCAGCACCCATGGGGGCAGGACACGCTTTGGGGTGGACGCACAGGCTCCACGAACCAGGAGGGACCCGCTTACCCCATCTGGAAGTCAGTGGGGTTCACCCCCAGAGTCTAGCATTGCTGGAAAGGACTGCTGTTCGCATTGGGCTGGTTTGATGGGTAGCCTGAGCCGAAATTTGGTCTGATGGGTAGCTTTGAGCCAGCATTGCACGGCGGTTAAGAGCGCCGGGCTAGGACCAGGGAGAGACCTGGGTTCGAAACCCCACTCGATTTCTTGCGGGGTGACATCGTGGGGGCAGCCACTGCCTCTCTCATGCTAACAAGGTTGCGGTGGGGACTATATGAGCGGCGAGGATAAAACCCACGTACGCCACTTTGAGCTTGGAGAGAAAGGTAGGCTAGAAACACAATTTATGGGCTCTGAAATGCTGACAAATAGATCTTGGAGATGCATCACCGACTCATCCAAAGTGTGCCTGGCTTAGAGAGCGGCCTACCTCACAGGCTCATCTTGAGGATACAGTGGTACCTTGGGTTACATACGCTTCAGGTTACAGACTCCGCTAACCCAGAAATATTACCTCAGGTTAATGTTATGTACTGAAGTTCTCACCCTGGGCCAGCAGGGGGATACTGTAGATAGTTTTCACTCAGGTCCACATATGCAAATAAGGGATCGAAAGTGACGTTCAGTGATTGGATAGTTACAGAAAGTTGTTACAGTTACGTTGTACTGGAGCTCTATATAAGCAGGCTGGCTGAACCCTTCAGTTCAGTTCTGTTCTGACCTGTGAATAAACAAGAGCTGTCTGAAGAATCACTGTGTCGTCTGATATGTTCACCCACAGCTTAACAGTTAAGAACTTTGCTTCAGGATGAGAACAGAAATTGCGCGGCGGCAGCAGGAGGCCACATTAGCTAAAGCGGTGCTTCAGGTTAAGAACAGTTTCAGGTTAAGAACAGACCTCTGGAACGAATTAAGTACTTAACCCCGAGGTACCACTGTAATTGCAAATAATTGCATAGTGCACCAAGGGGGTGACCCATTCCAGCCAAGCATATCAGCAAATTGAAGAGCACAAATTCAACCACCATTCTGGCATTTCCTCCATGTGTTTGGTCTGCGTAAAAGTTACGGCATTTGGTTATCTATTGGTCACCTTTTTTTAAAAAAAAAGAAAACTTCCCAAAAAGTGCAAAACCGCTTAGGGTTAGGGTGTGTGTGTCTTGCTGATGTCACAAGGGCCAGCCGATCAGAGCCACGCACCGTCGACTTCCGCTTCAAACGTTCCAAGTGTAAATCTAGCAAGATTTTTTTATAACAAACCCCAGCGACAACCTGTTCTCAGTTATGGGTTTGCAATATCTGACGGCCCGTTTGCAATATTCAGCGCCCCATTTAGAAGCACCCTTGGACTTGGTTGAAGTTGGGGGTGGGGTGTCCAAAGGTTTCATGGAAAGGGTAGGAGCTTTTGAGCTTTTGGAGAGAGATTTATAGAGACATCTCTCTCCATTTAGAGCCCAGCTCAGGACAGCTTAACAACACTGCAAAATCACAGTGCCTTGGCCATTAAGTTGCTGTGTTCACCCTCAGAACACCATTGCAAGGTGGACCAATTAGTATTTTATTTTTCCCCAGCTGGACGTTGACAGATAGTGACTTGCCTGGGACTGTAAGTGCCAGAAGTAAAAGTGGGTCCCTTCTCTCTGGGGTTTCCGACCGAAATATAATTCTTAGTTTCCATGCAACTGTTGTGGGGTAGCCCTTAATGGATCGTGGCCAGATAGCCAGGTTGCTTTGCTTGCTTTCATTAACATTACAGCGCTGAGTTGATTTGAAAGATTTAACCAGGCAGGCAAGGTGAGACAGGTATGGAACGTGAGCGCAGCTAGATGCAACGTTTTGGAGTTATTTTTCGGCAAAAGCCTTTAGTAGGAATGTGCCGCCAGGGGGCACTGCAGTCAACCAAACACCTCCCCATTCAGGAGGGGAGAGACCCATACGCTACCTCCTGATACCAGGTATTGATTCATCTTTATCATTCTGCTCAAGCACAGAGGGAGGATGTAGGAAGGAAGGATGGTCTGCTGAGTCTCTGGGGAATTAATTGGTGGAGGGGGGGGGTTCAGAGCACCCAGCCTCCCTTAAATTGATTTTCAGAAGTGTGAAAGGAGGGCTTGGAATTCACACGAGGGATCGAGGCAGCTTTGAAAAGGATATAAGCAGAGAATTACAAAGGAGCTTTGAAATACCCCTGTATACAAGATGCCAATATTTCGGCTGACACCAGCTTCCCCACAGGAGCAGCAGCGCAGATATTGATTAATTTATTGCATTTATGTTCTACCTTTTCCTCCCCAAGGTGCTCAAGGTGGCGTATGTGGCTCACCCCCCTCCTCACCGAACAACAACCCTGTGAGGAAGGCAGTGATCGGCCCCCGAGGTCACCCAGGGAGCTTCGCGATGGCCAAGTAGGGATTCAAACCCTGCTCTCCCGGCTCCTAGTCGGATGCTCTTGTGGGATGTGAAACACAAGAGCAGTCAAGCACAACATTCCTAGAGTGAACATGTTTACACATGGGGAGGAATGTTTGTCCAGCCAGCAGGTAAACTTCCTGTTTCCTTCTGGGTTGGGACAGACTTCCTCTGCATGTGACTAGAGGTGGGTGTGGCCTCACCTGTGCAGGTAACAACAAATGCACAGGGCAGGGCAGCCATCTCTCTCTCTTTGACTACATGCATTGAAGAAGCAACATCTGCTTAGCCAAAGATGCTTCCAGACAAGAGAGGACAAAGGGACTGTCTCCTTTGAGATAGTTTCCAGGTGTATGTTACTTTTCTAAGCTAAGTCTGCCTTCTGGGATCCGATTGTGAACAGAATGTGAGTGAGTAAACTCTTTTTATACTTTTATAGAAGACTGTGTCATGTCTTATCTTTTATGAAGGAATAAGGGGAAAATACCAGAACAGTTATTATAGAGGCTTTAGCGAGCCTGAGATAACACATCTGCTGCGAGTTTAAAAAGGGGAATGTTACTCTGCTAAATTGTGAACTTGTTTACACAAGTTGGAAAGGCTATAACCAAACAATATATACTCTCCTGCATCCCTGAACATTCCCACAGCTCTAACTGCTGTACCACACAGCCCGGCAGCCTTCATGGGGTTGTGCCTGGAGCTGTGTGTCGGATGGAGCGCCATGAGCCTCATTTTAGGCGGTGGGTGGGCACAGGTGGTGAGGCAGTCACAGCTGCCCAAGTCCCTTCTGACTTACCCCGAGTCAGGGCAGTGCCATGGAGTGGTTAGAGTGTCAAACTGGGACCTGGGAGACTTGGGTTCAGGTCCTCACTCAGTCACAAAGATCACTGTCAGTCACTTTCTCTCAGCCTAGCCTACCTTGCAAAGTTGTTGTGAGGCTAAAGCAGGGAGGTAGAGAATTATGCATACTGCCAGGAGTGTCTGGGAGAAGAGGAGGAATATAAATGCAACAATAGCAACCCGGGGGTTGGGCTAGATGACCATTGGGGTACCTGCCAACCCTACAGTTCTATGATTCATGCATTAAACATTGGTCCACATACCTCAGTTTTGCCCCCACTGGCTGGCAGATGCTCTCCATGGTTTCCGAAAGGAAGGGCCCTACCTGAAGATGCTGGGTATTATATATAAGTTGCATGTAAGTTACGCTGACATTCTTAGAATCATAGAGCTGGAAGGACTCCAGCGGTCATCTAGTCCAACCCCCTGCGATGCAGGAATCACAGGTATGATTTATGTAAGTTACAGAATTTTGCCACAGGAGGCAGGGAGGTGAATAGCATGGCTTTTGGCAGAAGAGGAAATGCAGCAGAATGGAAACAGCGCTGCGTGAGACAGTTATTGGCTGGATTGGAAACGGATGCCTTCTTAAATCCCTAAAATCCCTATAGGATGGATTTCTGCCCTAAATTGATTTTTGAATTCTGAATTTATTGTTATTCACTTTTTATACTGTATTTTATGCTGGTTTTTGTTGCATCAGTTAAGTGTTTTAAATTTGTTGTTAGCCGACCTGAGCCCGGTTTTCTGAACCAGGAAGGGTGGGGTATAAATAAAAATTTATTATTATATTTAGATTTACCCTCCACCCCTATCCTAGGGCCCAGAATTAGCACCTGGTATCGCTTGTATCAAAGGGACGCGGGTGGCACTGTGGGTTAAACCACAGAGCCTAGAACTTGCCAATCAGAAGGTCAGCAGTTCGAATCCCCACGACGGGGTGAGCTCCCGTTCCTCGGTCCCTGCTCCTGCCAACCTAGCAGTTTGAAAGCACGTCAAAGTGCAAGTAGATAAATAGGTACCACTCCAGCGGGAAGGTAAATGGCATTTCCGTGCGCTGCTCTGATTCACCAGAAGCGGCTTAGTCATGCTAGCCACATGACCCGGAAGCTGTACGCCGGCTCCCTCGGCCAGTAAAGCGAGATGAGCGCCGCAACCCCAGAGTCGGTCATGACTGGACCTAATGGTCAGGGGTCCCTTTACCTTTACCTTTACTGCTTGTAGTGTGGGATTTTCCTGCACTGTGCAGGCGTGTATGAGAACTGCAAAAGATGAGGCTTTTACGAGCAAGAGGTTACGCACTCAGTCTCCCCATGAGATGAGGAAAGTACGTGAACAATGAAAAAAAATCTAAAATTACTGGAACCGATTGCACAATGAATGCTGAGGCCTTTCTTTTAATGCTTTTGTGGACAGAGAACGGGATGAGCAGCTAAGATGTCTTCAGGGCGCTTCCTTCCACCCGGATGGCTGGTTTCTCCGAAAGGCTGGTCATCTTGACCAGGAGGTCCTGGGATGCTTGGTCCAGCTGGTCGGCCAGGTGACTGGTCACACGCAGCATCCTGTCCATTCCCCGCAAGTGTTCGTTTAACCTATGCAGAAGAGGAGGGAGAAAACATGGAAACTCTCTTTACCAAAACAGGAAAAAACAAGAGGAAGGTGTTGTGGGCTTTTATGAGCAATCAGAAGAGGGAACACAAGACCCTGTGCTCTTCCCACAGATATAACTGTCCAGATCTGCTTTCCAATGTCATAGCCCCCTCTGCAAGTGATGAACAGGAAGAAGATTCGGAGGAACAGACTCCTAGCAGCAGCACCAGGGGCGAAGAGGAGCAGTCTAGCTGCGCTAGAGGAGGAGAAGGAAGCTGGTGAGGGGAGAGGGGAGAGGGGAGAGACTTCATCAGGCAAGGCCTTCTTCCACCTGCCTTGCCCCACCCTCCAGTCTCTGCTTCTCAATCTGCAAAAGCTCTGGTTTTCCCAGTAGTGATGTATGGAAGTGAAAGCTGGACCACAAAGAAGGCTGATCGCCGAAGAATGGATGCTTTTGAATTCTGGTGCTGGAGGAGACTCTTGAGAGTCCCATGGACTGCAAGAAGATCAAACCTCTCCATTCTGAAGGAAATCAGCCCTGAGTGCTCACTGGAAGGACAGATCCTGAAGCTGAAGCTCCAAGACTTTGGCCACCTCATGAGAAGAGAAGACTCCCTGGAAAAGACCCTGATGTTGGGAAAGATGGAGGGCACAAGGAGAAGGGGACAGCAGAGGACAAGATGGTTGGACAGTGACCTCGAAGCTACCAGCATGAGTTTGACCAAACTGTGGGAGGCAGTGGAAGACAGGAGCGCCTGGCATGCTCTGAGTGCCACAACTCCAGAGTCAGCCACGACTGGACCTAATGGTCAGGGGTCCCTTTACCTTTACCAGGAATATATAGTGAGAGGCTCACACAAGCCTGCAACCAGCTATCTGCTGTGCGTGTTAGAAGGGGAATGTAAACTCTGCTAAGTAAAGGAACTTGCTAGCACAAGTTAGGAAGGACATTAATAAACAATATATCCTCTCTTGCCACCCTGAAAATTCCCACAATTCAGAAGTCCACACGGACCAGCAGCAGCTCTCCAGAATTTCAAACAGGGCAGCAGCAGATTTTGGGGAGTGTGAACCGATTGCTTACACTTGGCTCACGCCAAGTCGAGAGGGTGCCGCCAGGGGCACTGCAATAACGGCGATCAATGGAAGGCAAGAGGCAGTGGAGGGGACAAATTTTGGCATTGCACAGGGTGCCACTGAAATTTTAAAGCCACTGGGTAGAGGTTCTCTCTGGAGACACCATTGAGAATTGAAGCCGGGGCATTCACCAAGCAAAGCAGATGGTGTATCACTAAATTCTGGACTCCCCTGTGTCTAATGCCCATTCATTTTAGTAAAGGTAAAGGGACCCCTGACCGTTAGGTCCAGTTGTGGCCGACTATGGGGTTGCGGCGCTCATCTCACTTTATCGGCCGAGGGGGCCGGCGTACAGCTTCCGGGTCATGTGGCCAGCATGACTAAGCCGCTTCTTGCGAGCCAGAACAGTGCACGGAAACACCGTTTACCTTCCCACCGGAGCGGTACCTATTTATCTACTTGCACTTGGATGTGCTTTCGAACTGCTAGGTGGGCAGGAGCAGGGACCGAGCAACGGGAGCTCACCCCGTCGCGGGGATTCGAACCGACGACCTTCTGATTGGCAAGTCCTAGGCTCTGTGGTTTAACCCACAGCGCCACCAGCGTCCCTCCCATTCATTTTACTGTGGTGCTATTAAGCAGGGAGGGGGGCTTGGGTGTTTTCAAGGGCACAGTGGGTGTGCAGGAGAGTGGGGGGCCAGGAATAGGAGGACAGGAGGCAATGGAGACCAAGGAGCAAGATTTTAGTTTCTCTCTCTCTCCCCCCTGTTGGGACATGGCATCCATCGCACAGGGAGCTGGTGGCTGAGTGAGTTACACAGCCGCAAAACCGCCAGCCAAATTCCAGCTCGGATGTGAAATTGAGCCGGGGCATTGCAAATTCCCCAGGAGAAACCCCTGAGAATCAGCAGAAAAAATATATAAAGAAATTGCTCTCGCTCAGACGGTCCCAGACTCTCAGCATTGTGGGCTGAATGTACAAGCTTCTCTCCTTGCAACACGTAATCCTAGGCCTGCAGGAGAAGTTTATAAGAGTCGGCATGGCACGGAGAAAACGGAAAGAGAGAAAGATTTTCTCCCTCTCTCATAAGACTAGAACTCATAGACGTCCAGAGAAGGAGAAGGTGGGAGATTCAGGACAGGCAAAAGAAAGTCCTTCTCACAGCACAGAGTTAACATCAGTCTTGAAAGACCTACACTGGCTCCCAGTACGTTTCCTAGCACAATTCAAAGTGTTGGTGCTGACCTTTAAAGCCCTAAACGGCCTCAGTCCAGTATACCTGAAGGAGCGTCTCCACCCCCATCGTCCAGCCCGGACACTGAGGTCCAGTGCTGAGGGTCTTCCCTCGCTGCAAGAAGCCAGGTTACAGGGAACCAGGCAGAGGGCCTTCTTGGTAGTGGCTCCTGCCCTGTGGAACACCCTCCCATCAGATGTCAAAAGAATAAACAACTATCTGACTTTTAGGAGACATATGAAGGCAGCCCTGTATCGGGTAGTTTTCAATTTTTGATGTTTTATCGTGTTTTTAATTTTCTGTTGGGAGCCACCCAGATGGGCAGGGTATAAATATAATAATAATAATAATAATAATACAGTAGTAATAATAATAATAATAATAATAATAATAATAATAATAATAATAATTTCAGAAAGCGCAAACCAGGTAAGTTTGCCTTTAAGTAGGAGCTAAATTCAATGTGTCCCCTGCCCTGAGAAGGAAGGATTTCCTTTCCTCTGCCTGCTGGTTACTGTTGGGAAACTGTGTATGTGCAGCTACTCACACAGAATCAATTAAGGTTTGGCAGACAGCCAGAAGGCAATCTGAAGGAGTAAGTCTGCCTGGTGATAACAGAGGAATGGAGACAGCTCCCTGATTGGTCAAGCTCTCTCAAGGGAGTGATAATTAATGGCCTACTAACTGGAATGTGTTAGTTCAGGAGTTCAGGAGTTCAGTAGTTCTCTGTGTCAGTGTAGGAGTTGTGAGTCGTGTCAGAGAGAGGTAGCAAAAGATCAGTGTGCTGTTCCTGTAAATAGTCCACTGTATATAATAAATACCTAACTACAAGTTCCTGGTTCCTGCTTCGTCTATCCTGTCTGCAGCCAAGTCATCAATTGCTTCTGTGAATTCTGCGTTTACTCTGCTAGGTCTGGCTAAGGTCCTGCAACTAGTCGGAAAGTTGCGAAACACCAATAGGTTTTGCCAGTAGTTACTTCCTTGGCTGACCCAAGGTTCCAGTTTTACAAGAGATCTCCTTCCTTTCCACTTACCCTCCCGCTAATCCTGCAGAGGATTATATAGGATGCACGAAGCAGCTAGCTCCGTGCTCCATTGCTAAGCCCTCAAAAAGAGCATCTGTTGTGAAGAAGCACCTACTTCTTTTTCTCGTCCTCTGCGTGCAGATGGTCATCTGCATGAATGTGTTCCTCCAGCTCCTGCAGGAACTTCCCAAGAATCTCATGGAACTCCCCATTGGCCTCTCTCACATCAGGAAGGGCTTGGGAAACGATGTCCTGGTACCTGGACTGGCCGGCCTCCAGAACTGCAGCCTCCTGAAGGCTCTTCAGGTTGCCTCCAAGGTCCTCCAACAAGATCTTGAGATGGTCCAGCTCTTCCTGAGAGGCTGGTGTGGTGGTTGCCTGGGTAGTCTGCGTGCAAGAGCTCCCAGACCAGGGGATGTGAAATGTGAAGTCGCAAAAGTCTGGGTTTGGGGACTGATCTCCACGATCTTCTGGGGTTGGTCTCACCGTGGCATTGCCCAGTGATTCCTCTTCCTTGCTCTGAGTGGGTATAAGAAGACTCAGCCCTAGCAGCAGACTCCAAACCGTGAGTGGTCTTGATGCAACCTGGAAAAAAGGAAAGGCGAGTCACTATTCTCAGAGATGGGGTGTGGGTGGTTACACCTGAATTCAGTGTTGGGATGCTGCCGGGGAGACGGGGGCATTGGGCTGGCCCCCAGCTGGCTCCAGCCGCTGGCCGGCAGCCGGGCGAACACCGGTCTCCCTTGGAATAGCATCAATCAGCGGCATGAGCTGTGCCCGCTCTTATCAGTAGAGTGAATAAATCCTCACAATGGAAGTGACGGACAGAGACATGTGTAAGCATTATTGACAGCGTTTATTCAGCATAGTTCAGGAACAAAGGGAAAACATGTCTGCTTCCCTTCGTCTCCAAGCAAAACAGCAAAAGCAAAAGCAATATACAAACGGAAGTTCCCAGCAGACTGTGCTGGAAGTAAACAGGCATGTGACACACAACAGTCATGCCTGTTCCTTTTAAGGTGGAACAGAACTATATGCTAACATTCAGACCTGTTTTTCCAAGCCCAGTGCATTTCCCAGTGTGGGAAAAGAGAGAAGAACTCAGTCAAGGGAGTTTGGGGTGTTTAGCCTGGGGGAGAGGAGACTGAGAGGTGATCGGATGGTCCAATTATTCAAGTATCTGAAAGGCTTTCACATGGTAGATGGAGCAAGTTTGTTTTCTGCTGTTCCAGGGGGTTGGGACCCCAAACTAATGACTTCAAGCTGCGAGAAAGGAGATTCCGACTAAACATACAGAAAAACTTTCTGACAGCAAGAGCTATTCGACAGTGGAACGGGCTTCCTTGGGAGGCTGTAGACTCTTCTCCCTTGGAGGTTTTTAAAGCAGAGGTTAGATGGCCATCTGTCATGGATACTTTAGCTGAGATTCCCGCATTGCAGGGGGTTGGAATAGATGACCCCTGGGGTTCCTTCCAGCTCTACAATTCTATGAGTCTATGAAAAGGCAGGACAGAGATTCTGCAACGAACGAACGAAAGAACGAATTAACTAACTATTGTAGTTGTGAATTGCCCTGGGCATAGGGTGGTATATAAATTTAATTAACAACAACAACAACTGCTACTACCTTGTAGGCTGATTGGCACAAATAAAGCCCCTCGCCTCCATCACAAAGATCCTTTTCTTTTTTAATTTTTATTGGAATTTTTATTTGCAACATAACATAAACCCCCACCCCCCCCAATACAGAAATCCACCCTCATTAAACGTGAACGTAACATACAATAAGCATAACATACAACAATGTTGTTGTTGTTGTTGTTTAGTCGTTTAGTCGTGTCCGACTCTTCGTGACCCCATGGACCAGAGCACGCCAGGCACCTCTGTCCTCCACTACCTCCCGCAGTTTGGTCAGACTCATGCTGGTAACCTCGAAAACACTATCCAACCATCTCGTCCTCTGTCGCCCCCTTCTCCTTGTGCCCTCCATCTTTCCCAGCATCAGTGTCTTCTCCAGGGAGTCTTCTCTTCTCCTGAGGTGGCCAAAGTACTGGAGCCTCAACTTCACGATCTGTCCTTCCAGTGAGCACTCAGGGCTGATTTCCTTCAGAATGGATGCTTTTGATCTTCTTGCAGTCCATGGGACTCTCAAGAGTCTTCTCCAGCACCAGAATTCAAAAGCATCCATTCTTCGGCGATCAGCCTTCTTTATGGTCCAGCTCTCACTTCCATACATCACTACTGGGAAAACCATGGCTTTAACTATACGGACCTTTGTTGGCAAGGTGACGTCTCTACTTCTCAAGATGCTGTCTAGGCCTGTCATTGCCCTTCTCCCAAGAAGCAGGCGTCTTTTAATTTCGTGGCTGCTGTCACCATCTGCAGTGATCATGGAGCCCAAGAAAGTAAAATCTCTCACTGCCTCCATTTTTTCCCTTCTATTTGCCAGGAGGTGATGGGACCAGTGGCCATGATCTTCGTTTTTTTGATGTTGAGCTTCAGACCATATTTTGCGCTCTCCTCTTTCACCCTCATTAAAAGGTTCTTTAATTCCTCCTCACTTTCTGCCATCAAGGTTGTGTCATCTGCATATCTGAGGTTGTTGATATTTCTTCCGGCAATCTTAATTCCAGCTTGGGATTCATCCAGCCCAGCCTTTCGCATGATGTATTCTGCATATAAATTAAATAAGCAGGGAGACAAAATACAGCCTTGTCGTACTCCTTTCCCAATTTTGAACCAATCAGTTGTTCCATATCCAGTTCTAACTGTAGCTTCTTGTCCCACATAGAGATTTCTCAGGAGACAGATGAGGTGATCAGGCACTCCCATTTCTTTAAGAACTTGCCATAGTTTGCTGTGGTCAACACAGTCAAAGGCTTTTGCATAGTCAATGAAGCAGAAGTAGATGTCTTTCTGGAACTCTCTAGCTTTCTCCATAATCCAGCGCATGTTTGCAATTTGGTCTCTGGTTCCTCTGCCTCTTCTAAATCCAGCTTGCACTTCTGGGAGTTCTCGATCCACATACTGCTTAAGTCTTCCTTGTAGAATTTTAAGCATAACCTTGCTAGCGTGTGAAATGAGTGCAATTGTGCGGTAGTTGGAGCATTCTTTGGCACTACCCTTCTTTGGGACTGGGATGTAGACTGATCTTCTCCAATCTTCTGGCCACTGCTGAGTTTTCCAAATTTGCTGGCATATTGAGTGTAGCACCTTAACAGCATCATCTTTTAAAATTTTAAATAGTTCAGCTGGAATACCATCACTTCCACTGGCCTTGTTATTTGCAGTGCTTTCTAAGGCCCATTTGACTTCACTCTCCAGGATGTCTGGCTCAAGGTCAGCAACCACACTACCTGGGGTGTACGAGACATCCATATCTTTCTGGTATAATTCTTCTGTGTATTCTTGCCACCTCTTCTTGATGTCTTCTGCTTCTGTTAGGTCCTTACCACTTTTGTCCTTTATTATGGTAATCTTTGTACGAAATGTTCCTTTCATATCTCCAATTTTCTTGAACAGATCTCTGGTTCTTCCCATTCTGTTGTTTTCCTCTATTTGTTTGCATTGCTCGTTTAAGAAGGCCTTCTTGTCTCTCCTTGCTATTCTTTGGAAATCTGCATTCAATTTCCTGTATCTTTCACTATTTCCCTCGCATTTTGCTTGCCTTCTCTCCTCCGCTATTTGTAAGGCCTCGTTGGACAGCCACTTTGCTTTCTTGCATTTCCTTTTCATTGGGATGGTTTTCGTTGCTGCCTCTTGTATAATGTTACGAGCCTCCATCCATAGTTCTTCAGGCACTCTGTCCACCAAATCTAAATCCTTAAACCCGTTCCTCACTTCCACTGTGTATTCATAAGGGATTTGACTTAGATTGTATCTTACCGGCCCAGTGGTTTTTCCTACTTTCTTCAGTTTAAGCTTGAATTTTGCTATAAGAAGCTGATGATCTGAGCCACAGTCAGCTCCAGGTCTTGTTTTTGCTGACTGTATAGAGCTTCTCCATCTTTGGCTGCAGAGAATATAATCAATCTGATTTCGATGCTGCCCATCTGGTGATGTCCATGTGTAGAGTCGTCTCTTGTGTTGTTGGAAAAGCGTGTTTGTGATGACCAGCTTGTTCTCTTGACAGAACTCTATTAGCCTTTGCCCTGCTTCGTTTTGATCTCCAAGGCCAAACTTGCCAGTTGTTCCTTTTATCTCTTGCCTCCCTCCTTTAGCATTCCAATCCCCTATAATGAGAAGAACATCCTTCTTTGGTGTCACTTCTATAAGGTGTTATAAGTCTTCATAGAATTGGTCAATTTCAGTTTCTTCAGCACCAGTAGTTGGTGCATAAACTTGGATTACTGTGATGTTAAAAGGTCTGCCTTGGATTCGTATCGAGATCATTCTATCATTTTTGAGATTGCATCCCAGTACAGCTTTCGCCACTCTTTTGTTGACTATGAGGGCCACTCCATTTCTTTTACGGGTTTCTTGCCCACAGTAGTAGATGTGATGGTCATCCGAACTGAATTCGCCCATTCCCGTCCATTTTAGTTCACTGATGCCCAGGATGTCAATATTTATTCTTGCCATCTCATTTTTGACCACCTCCAACTTACCCAGGTTCATGGTTCTTACATTCCAGGTTCCTATGCAATATTTTTCTTTACAGCATTGGACTTTCCTTTCGCTTCCAGGCATATCCGCAACTGAGCATCCTTTCGGCTTTGGCCCAGCCGCTTCATCAGCTCTGGATCTACTTGTACATGCCCTCCGCTCTTCCCCAGTAGCATGTTGGACGCCTTCCGACCTGAGGGGCTCATCTTCCAGCGTCATAACTTTTATATGCCTGTTGTCTTTGTCCATGGAGTTTTCTTGGCAAGGATACTGGAGTGGCTTGCCGGTTCCTCCTCCAGGTGGATCACGTTTGGTCGAAACTCTCCACTATGACCTGTTCATCTTGTGTGCCCTGCTCGGCGTAGTTCATAGCTTCTCTGAGTTCTTCAAGCCCCTTCGCCACGGCAAGGCAGTGATCCATGAAGGGGAACATACAACAATACAAACAACCAAATAAAAGACTTCCTTTATCCTGTATCTGGCCTCCTTATTTACTTCTTAGAAGCTGTTTCCTTTATGAATAATTATTAAGATTTTTCTAATTATAATATCCACAAAGCTTCCTGCAGGCGTTAATCGAAACAAGTCAAGGTATGTATTTTAGGGCACTGTTTTGCGAAGTATTCTCTGCATTTCCCCCATGCTTTTTGAAACTCTTGTCTAGTGTGATCTCTAATTGCCTCAATCTAGCCAGTTCAATGTACTCTAACAGTTTGTCTTGCCATTCCTTTTGTGTTGGCACAATTTCTTTTTCCCAGTTTTTAGCAATTAGGATCACCAACCTCCTTTTCGTTCAGCTCGTCCTTGCAATAATTTGTGTCCAGATTCCCTTCCTGCCAGGAAAGCAATCATCACAGCTTTGCTGTTGGCAACCAGCAACCGTCCCCTGGCAAGAACCACCTGGCCACCTGCCACGGCTGTCTCTTACCCACCTGTGCCCTGCACAGCCCAAGGGCCTCACAAAAATGATCTGCCTTGCT